CCTGCCTACCTGTACCCTTCATACCTGCCTACCTGTACCCTTCATACCTCCCTACTTGTACTCTTCATACTTGCCTACCTGCACCCTTCCAGCCCTACCAATAGTTCCACTTGAAGAACAAGTTACTTCAGCTTTACAATTGTTTAGAGGTTGAATCTATTTAGCTTCAAATACGCTGTTTTCTTTTTGAAAAAATTACCTCAAGAGAAGACCTATGTGAAAAAGGAAAAAATAAAGAATAATGATAATCATGAAATGATAATAATAATGACATATTTGGCGTGACGTGAGTTAAGAACAATGCATCAGCAACATTGTTCAATGATTGTTTTGACTTTTCTTTCGTGGCGGTTTTTGGTGATGTTGTTGCTTATAACTTGTTTCTATACATGCATACCTGTCCCCAGCCATGGTTCAAGCAAATTATACTCCAATGACTTCGTAATTTGCCGATTGCTGCTAAGTATCGTCTATAATAACAGAACAATACAAAATWCTTTAGGCTAACAACTGCAAATTTACTGTTATTTGTTACATTTTCTCGTCAATAGCGATCGTTTCTCCATGAAAATGAGAGTCCGGCCGTGCATTGAGATTTAATAAATACTGAATATATGCAGTGAATATATTATATTTTTTATGGGTTGTTGGATGTAATAACCTGGATCCTAAGCTTTCTTTTTCTGGATGTTTTTTCGTATYGTATTTTTGGCTTTGCTTTTTAAATTTATCAGTAGAAGCTCGTTTGATTTACTTTTAAGAAAAAAAAGCAGAAGAAAAAGCCTCTGGAATTAACCACGGTATGGATATAATTGACTATTTCAAAAATGTAATGATCCTTCCCTATCACATGTACCTCCACAAGTTCTGGCTTGAAGATCACAACCATTGAATGAAATGGACCAAACCACATACAAAACATGCCTTTGCTCCAATTTTCTTTGGACCACTGCATGATCTGGTCATAGAATTCTAAAACACACAATATTTATTTTATAGGTAGTGAACGACAACGGGGGGGGGTACTCCGTCCCCGAATTGGGGGGGGTTGGGGTGCCACACGACACTCAAAACCCTTACCCTATCCCAAGCCAATTTTTGTKATGTTACATACCCTACCCCAGACTGAAGGTAAAAAAGTACGTTTTTAGCGCTGAAAGCGTGGCCTAGCAGATACGATCACAGGCAAAACTCCACCCTACCCAAGACAATGAGGCTATACCATCATCATCACCATCATTCGGCTGCAGCGCAGGCGACCACAATCCCTCTCCATTGTCCACGGTTTTTCGCCATGACTGCTATCTGAACAGGCCGAAGAGAGCCATCGCCGTCTCCCGGCCGCTGTTGAATGTATTTAAGATACGACATTCGTGGTCGGCCTGGTCTCCTCTTTCCATGGGGTGGCCATGGGATATATAGAGCATAGAGACTATACCCATATCTACCATATAACTACCATATCCCAGACAAAACTACTACCCTATCGCACACAAAAAGACTACCCTATCCCAGACAAATGGTCAAAAAATGATACCCTATCCCAGACTTGGAGCACACTTAGTATAAGAAACTAAGTAATGAGGCCCTTAAAAAGTAAAACATTGGGATGCCGGAATTATACGGACATTTGACTTAGTGATCAAAGGARCAACCTTTATGTAGCGCTTGAAATTAGATGATTGCAATAAGCTTTGSTGGAAATCACATTTTTTTTAATTAACATTGAAACGCGATACTTTTGCGTCATATAACATACAAAGTGGACTTATTGTCGTGRGAGCATTTACCTGCATTGTCACGCTTAAATTGCAAAGCATTTCCGAACAGAAGGACTGGTTTAGGACCAGGACACTGACTCAATGATTTCAACGACTGCAGTTTCTTCCTGAATAACACTGTAACATAGCATATAACAAGAAAGGAACAACTTGAAAACACTGCAACGGCGATCCATGCGCTCGATTCAGTAGTACTTTCCATGCCGCTATTATCAAAGTTCTGACGCAGCAGTCTGCCTAGGTTAAGGTTTTGTGTTGCGAAAAAATCAATATTTCCATATGTCATGACATATCCGTCAACCTTGACAGCCGTCATCGATCTCAAATGTGCTATGGTTTATCTATATTAGTGTCTAATAGTGAATATTTTTTATTTTTTTTTTATTTTTTTTTTTTTTTTTTTTTTTTTTTTGTAATTTTCAAGCAATAAAGGAGACTCTGATGTTGTTTTGTTTATTAACATGTTTAAGGAGATCCGATGTGAAAATGCCACAAATTCTCTTGTTATCAACATAGACAGCATGACCTTGAATAACATTGTTTTAATACTGTAATGAACGTGACCTTGAATGACACTGCCTCGCTTGCATGTACGGGATCGTCCTCCACTATATAAGTTAAAAGCACGCCGGTCTGTGCACCTCAATACGTTTTGTTCGAGCTTCAAAAATGGATTATATATCTTCCAAGTCTGCAATACTACAGAATTATGATTCGCTGTTGCTTTGTGTACCAGTGTTGGCGATTTTGTCGGGAATTGTTCTTTGGCAAAGACAGCTAAGCGGCTTGAAAGTCATGGATCATTTTCCTGGACCAAAAAAGAATTTTCTGTTTGGAAACGCGTTGGATTTCCCCAAGGACCCAAGTGGTGAGTTCAGACATGATTTTGGCTGACATGATCCATTTTATCTATACATTTTGTCCTCTCCACTTAAAGACCCTTAAACTTGGTGAGTCTGATGGGCACTCGATAACACAACCCGACCTCTTGCATTTTTATCGCTCTCCCCCTGCTCTCTCTCACAGCCTAGATCATCTAGCAAGCTTATTTTCCTCTTAAAATAGGATATTTTTTTCATTTTTTAAGTAGTGTTGATCTATTTTTTTGTACAGATTTCCGAGAACAAGTTGTCAAATGGGCCAATGGCTACATGTATAAAGGAGTTTTCTGTATTTGGCTTGGACCTTTCATTCCTTTTTTGTTACTATACACTCCTGAATATACCGAGGTATTCATTGCATTTCTAGATGTCATCATTCCATGTTACCATTCATTTCAATCAGAATCTATTTCATATCTCATCCCAAGTGGAGCACRGTCTGTTTATTAGTGGTTTTTATGTAACCACCCCTCCCCTAACTCTATATATTTTATACCATTATTTTGGAGATTTTGTAAGGCATTACTAAACCATGAACCCAGGGGAGGGGGAGGGGGGGACTCCCTTATAAAGTTGGTAGGTATGCTCAACGGACCTTTTAGGTTTGAAAATAAAACCCTCACGTACCTTTTAGGGTCCGGACTCAGCTGACTCTGTATCTTTTAGGGTCAATTTTCGAACATCAAAAATAAAAATTTAAAAAGTGTTATAAAGCAATAGATTTTATTAACCTCAACAATCTATCGATATTGATTTTCTAAAGTTTGGAATSAATACCTGAATTAATTTATGTGTACCTTAGGGTTATTTTTCAATCCGTCTGTCAAGCATACCTACCAACATTCATAAGGGAACCCCCYACCCTGAGATCATGAATTTCTCACTTCTTCTTCTCCATCGATCTATTTGTCTGTCTTTGATTCTAGCATTCATTAATCTTACATGAATTGAAAATCTATCAAAATATACGAGAGTAAAATAAACAACAAACGAGGCAAGACGCAACGCGGTATGACACCGGATACACTCGTAACCTTCCCATTCCCCATTAAACTATATTAATTATTAACTAATATCACTAATCTTACATGAATTGTATTTTTAGCTACTTCTGAGCAGTTCTCGTCAGATAACCAAGTCCTTTGCCTACAGATTTCTTCATCCTTGGTTAAAGACAGGTGACCATTTGTTTGTTTGTTTTTGTTTTGGTTGATTATTTACTTCATGAGCTAATCAAGATCTTTGACTTTATTAACAGGATTGCTTACAAGGTTAGTAGTTGTGTTTTCTTTATTATGACGCACTCTGAGGTCNGTTTTATGGTAACAGGATTCATCCATGAAAACAGCAAGATTGAACAGTGTGATGTTTGCATCATTAGGCCATTATTTCAACATGGTTAAAGACTCATTATTATAATCTACCTGACACAGATAATAAATTTGTAAAATACATATTCTACCATCAACACAATAATGTACACTGTAGTTAATTCCAACTATGTGAATGTTATGGTAAGTACACTGACAGGCAGCGACAGGAATGATCACTGTTTGTACACAAGTGATTTAATTAGACATAATCAGATTTTGCAGTCAGTCTTACAGAATTAWTAATTAATTTTCACTATCAAGCTACACTATTACTACTTAAAATTCAGCCCAAACTTAATAATAGTTAATGTTTCATAGCCTGTAAGAGATTTTATGTGGGTGTCTCGAATATATTCTAATGTAATGATTTCAATCATCATCAAATAGTGATATCAATGCCACAATCTTGTGATATTAAAAAAGATTAATCAAATCATATAGTATCGCCAAAKAGTTAGATTATCTACAAAACTATTTACAGTGAATCAATGAAAATATTTATGAATCTTACGATCGGAATTTTTTAACGAGCATCCAATAATTTTGATTGTATAATGTTATAAGCTTCTAAGATAAAAGAACAGTACTGCTTCACATCACTAGGCAAAACACTACCTTAATATGAACTTGAACATCATCATGTCAAATATTAATGATTTGATAAGGTTAAATATATGAGTTGGAGAAAGTGAAACGCTTTTTAGGGGAGGATTAAAGCTAAGTAAAGCAGATTCAGTAAGCCTGCCACCCGGCTTCAACACACGGCAGATGTCACAAACTCAATCTCCCTTTTAAAACATCACCAGGAAAAAGTTCGAATCTAAAGTGTCAGAGCTAACAAAATTCACCAGGAYAATAATTATACTAACCCAGTAAAGTGTTCGCAGTTCATTAAAACCGCCGACGAAAAGAGTAACTTGGCCAAACTCACTCCGCTTCCTGTCGATATGATGTCTTTGTTATTGACGACAAACCATGCCTTAAATTGCATTTATTGCCTTTAAATAAGGACGGTTAAAGATATCTGTACAGGCAAATACCAGTAAAAAAACAACTTCATTCGGGGTGATTCCTAGTAATCTGTGCCAAGGTATCTTGTTGACATTACGTAGCACATTACGTATGCATCGGTTGTCAATCAAATATCTTTGTCTCTTTTAGGGATGGGTCCACAGTACGCATTTAAAAAATAATGCGTATAGAGATACATTTCGGTAGACATCGTCCTGGATAGAGTGAAAGAGTGAAAAGAAAAAATACCGAAACGATGCCTTAACTTGCTACGTGTATATTGATTCGTTCATCAGTGGAACGTCGTTGGGCTACCTGTGCCTTGCTACAGGAACCCCATTTTACAGAGACAGTCAGATTTCTATTGTTCCAGTGCAGTATAATGGCGYCCACAATCCAAAACAAAAGCTAATAGAGGTCATTTCTATTCTACTTGTGAATAATATACATGTGTTTACAACGTATTAGTCATCAGTTTTCCATATAAGATTGAGTTGCTTTTTGAAGTGCCATTTTAGAGATAGATCGTCCATGTTTCGTCTAATGCTATCTCGTTTGTGGTGCTGTACATGCAATCCCGTCCAATGTAAAGGAGTAGTTCGGAATTTTAGTTCCTCTATACCGTTGTCAAGACAGCGTTTAGTGATCCTGGGTACTGGATGGGGAAGCTACAGTGTCCTGAAGCACATCGACAAGAAACTGTTTGATGTAATAGTAGTCAGTCCAAGAAATCACTTTCTGTTTACGCCATTATTGTGTAGTACAACAGTCGGTACTCTTGAATTTCGCAGCATTATTGAGCCAGTGAGAAATACAGGATTTAGAGATGAGCATCACTTTCAGCTCGCCGAAGCAATCAAACTTTGCCCTGAACAGCGAGAAATAACTTGTCGAAGCACTCTGAATGAAGAAGAGATCAAATTYCAGTATGACAAACTTGTAATCGGTGTTGGTGCTGTCAGCAACACTTTTGGTGTCCCAGGAGTCTACGAAAATGCTTTCTTTTTAAAAGAAATTGCCGATGCAAGAAAGATAAGAAATCAAATTCTTAAAAATTTTGAGCTTGCAATGCAGCCTGGGATTGATGAGGACGAAAAGAAACGTTTATTACATTTTGTGATAGTTGGTGGGGGACCYACAGGGGTTGAGTTTGGAGCAGAACTGTATGACTTTGTAAAGCAGGATGTTGCAAGGTTGTATGCCCATGAGAAAGAGAATGTTAGAGTAACACTTATAGAGGCTCAACATATCCTGCCRTCATTTGATGAGAAACTCCGTCAATTTGCTGAAAGGAAGATGAGACAGCGCAATCAGTTTAAATTGCTTCAAAGTAGTGTTACTGAAGTTCATAAAGATGGTGTTACACTAAAGGATGGAACCAGAATGCCATGCAGTATGGTGGTATGGTCAACAGGGCTGGCGCCTAGAGACTTTACAGGTAATAATCAAGCTCATTACTAGATTCATCTGTTGGTCCCATTTCACTCTATACCTTACAAAATAAAATATGACAGAGAGAGCAAACTAAGACTGATTGATGAAATCGCTTGCTATCTGGTATAATTTCCTTTACCATCAGCATTCAGTGCTGACCTTTAAGGCTATGCTGTGATATAAAAATTTAATTATTGTTAAGTAGTATACAGACCAAAGATCAATATCAGAGTCAGACTAAGTCTTTAGGCACATCCATACAAATAAAGAGATTTTTCTCTATGGATATGTTTTGATCTTCATAAAAAATACATAGCATGTACAAATTATTYATGAGCATCCACTTTATATGACTAGAAATCTTAAAGGAAGTCAATAGAGTGATGTGCAAATATATGCTGTGTATTCATCATTATAACATTTGGATACAAGTATCCACACCTATTTGACAAATATTTGGAGACATCTGTGGACTTTTGCTGTATCCAAATAAAAACATTTGCAGATACAAAATCTTAGCCTGCGTAGCGGACCTAAGGGGATTGGGGAGGGCTGGCCGAGCTGGGAGTGGGGGGAAATGAATATCTAAGATATGCATATCATAAGACCAAACTATAAGAGTCCAAGTGTTTTTCAAAAATTAACATGTATAATAATTTGCATTATACATATTAATTTTGACAACATTTTACAAGGGCTCATCTTTGGCTCACTACCCACATGGTCTGGCTGCTTTAGCTTAGAACAATATGTGTTCCTTCCCTTTATTTATTATTTTTTTGCTTTATTCCAGTAAACTAATGTTGTCTATTATATAATGCTATTTCAGCTTCACTTAATCTGCCCAAGAATAAATCACAACAACTTGTTGTAGATGGTTACCTCAAAATCAAAGGACAAGAGGATTATGGGATATTTGCTTTGGGAGACTGTTCATTTGTTGAGAGCCACCCCTACCCATGTACTGCTCAGGTTGCAGAGAGACAAGGCCAGTATCTTGCCAAATCATTGACCCTGTATGCAACAGGAAGACAGTCAGAGGTTCAGGAGTTCTCCTGGATAAACCTTGGTATGCTGGCGTATGTAGGTGGKTACCAGGGCCTGGCTGACTTCCCAACYGGAAAGCTACAGGGTTTTAAGTCATGGATTGTATGGAGGTCTGTGTATTTAACTAAGCTGGGTAGCTGGAGAGGAAGATTTCAAGTCCCATTTGATTGGGCAAGAACGTTTTTCTTTGGCAGAGACATTTCACAGTTCTAAGTCAACCAGTCTAGTGATTTTATTTAGTTAAGCGCTCCGCCTCCCCCCACCCCCAAGTGACATTTGCTGATTATTTGAAAATTTGTCATTTCTTGAAATTARAATTAGCCGATGAAAAACATAAATTCAGCTTATTTCACGAAGGCCTCATAGTGCCTATTACATTCGTCTATGTAATGMATTTAAAGAACTGTAATGAAAGCAATTTTAATTAATGACCTAAGGAAATAAATAATCCATTGAATTCACTTACGTTATAAG